CCCACACCCACACCCACACTCACCCACACCCACACCCCACACCCACCCCACACACCCACACTTACACCCACACCCACACCCAGACCCACCCACACCCACACCCGCACCCGACCCACATCCACACCCACAAGTTCAACGACGACAACGACGTGAAAATGGATATCGCCAACTTCTTTGGCCAAAAGTCCAAGGGCTTCTACGAACGCGGGATCCTATTTCTGCCAGAGCGTTGGCGACAAGTCATAGATAGTAGTGGTGCATATATAGCTGAAAGCTAGTTGTATTGTTGAAGTTAAAAAATAAAAATAAAATTTTGGAAAAAAACGCAAAAACTTTGTTAACAACCTAATATTATTGAGGTAAATAATTTCATTTAATATTTAAAATTGCTTATTTTTTCTTTCTTTTTTTTTCTAGATGAGATACGATACATCATACCATTCAGACGTAGAAGAAAATTCTGTTTTTTTTTGAGTCACGGTTGAGTGTTGAGTTGAGATTGAGTCGAGAAAAAAGATCCATGCATAGTGAGAGATATGAGAATGAATTTATTTTGAGTTGTGATGAGTTATCATTATGGATCAGAGAGCTATGTTATCTGATTCAATAGGGAACCGAAAATTGTCATAGCGAAACACTGTAGCACTAGGGCAGGCGTCTATGAGTCGTAGGTGTCTACCGTTTCAACGACATATCTACGGCCATTGCTCTCCCAGTCCGGCATGGTCCGCTCTGTGGTACCTATGGCATTCTTCACAAGGGGTCTCTCCCTTGTTGCGCGCGCGCGTAACCCCAAACAAAGCCGAGAAAAATCAAAAACAAATAGCAATGCAAATGAATTTATTTGACTAATCGAAAACGAAAAAAGAAATTACAATTACATTTTCTTTTTCACATAGTCAATGTTATCTTTCGTCTCTTGAATTAGAGGATGTGTTGACGGAAGTGATTTTTGTCGGATAGCAAGTGCCTTTTCTAGGAATGAGAGTGCTTTTGAGTAGTCTCCTTTGCCGAAATACACCATACCAATATTGTTGTAGGAATAACCCAAATCGGGATGATTCGCAGGTAGAGATTTTTCCATCATTTTAAGTGCTTTTTCGTAAAGTTCAAGTGCTTTCGGGTAGTCATCCATGTTGTTATACACTCCAGCGATGTTGTTGTAGAAAAGAGCCAAATAGGGATGATTCGGAGGCAAAGCTTTTTCTCTTATTTTAAGTGCTTTTTCGAAAAATTCAAGTGCTTTTGAGTAGTCACCCATGTTGTGATACACTACACCAATGTTGTTGTAGGAGTTAGCCAAATTGGGATGATTCGGAGGGAGAGCTTTTTCTGTTATTTTAAGTGATTTTTCGTAAAATTCAATTGCTTTCGAGTAATTACCCATGTTGTTATACACTAGACCAATGCTGTTGTACGAAGTAGCCAAATCGGGATGATTCGGAGGTAGAGCTTTTTCGAAGATTTGATGTGTTTTTTCGTAAAAGTCAAGTGCTTTCGAGTAGTCACCCATGTTCCGATACACTTCTCCGATGTGGTTGTAGGAAGTAGCCAAATCTGGATGATTCGGAGGCAGAGATTTTTCTCTTATTTTAAGTGCTTTTTCCTGAAATTCAAGTGCTTTCGAGTAATCACCCATGTTGTTATACAGTAAACCAATGTTGTTGTACGAAGTAGCCAAATCGGGATGATTCAGAGGCAGAGCTTTTTCCAAAATTTGATGTGATTTTTCGTAAAAGTCAAGTGCTTTCGAGTAATTACCCATCGCGTAATACACTCCACCAATGTTGTGGTATGAACGAGCGAAATCGGGATGATTCGGAGGCAGAGCTTTTTCGAAGATTTGATGTGCTTTTTCGTAAAATCCAAGTGCTTTCGTGTAGTCACCCATGTTGTTATACACTACAGCGATGTTGTTGTAGGATTGAGCCAATGAGGGATGATTCGAAGGCAGAGCTTTTTCGAAGATTTGATGTGCTTTTTCGCAAAACTCAAGTGCTTTCGAGTAGTCACCCATGGTCCGGCACACTTCTCCGATATTGTTGTAGGAACTGGCCAAATCTGGATGATTCGGAGGCAGAGCTTTTTCGAAGATTTGACGTGATTTTTCGTAAAATTCAAGTGCTTTTGAGTAGTCACCCATGTTGCGATACACTTCCCCGATGTTGTTGTAGGATTGAGCCAATGAGGGATGATTCGGAGGCAGAGCTTTTTCTTCTATTGTAAGTGCTTTTTCGTAAAATTCAAGTGCTTTCGAGTAGTCACCCATGTTGTGATACACTACACCAATTTTATTGCATGAAGTAGCCAAATAGGGATGATTCGGAGGCAGAGATTTTTCTCTTATTTTAAGTGCTTTTTCGTAAAATTCAAGTGCTTTCGAGTAGTCACCTATGTCTCTGTACACACCACCGATGTTACTATATGAAGTAGCCAATGAGGGATGATTCGAAGGCAGAGCGTTTTCTTCTATTTTAAGTGCTTTTTCGTTAAATTCAAGTGCTTTCGAGTAGTCACCCATGCTGTGATACACTCCAGCGATGTTGTTGTATAAAGTAGCCAAATCGGGATCATCCGGAGATAGTGCTGTTTCGTTTATTTTAGATGCTTTTTGGTAAAATTCAAGTGCTTTCGAGTAATTACCCATGTTGTGATACACTAGACCAATGTTGTTGTAGGGATTACCCAATGAAGAGTGATCTTCTGGTAGATTTTTCCGGAGGATTTCGAGGGATTTTTCGTAAAACGGAATAGCTTTTTCATATTGACCTTGTTGTAATTTCACTCTACCTAACTCGTGATAGATATATGCTTTCTTGCTGTCCTCGGTGGCCTGTTCTAGTAATGCCATATACAATTCTTCGGCCTTGTCGAATTGACGTATTTTGAGTAGCAAGTTACCGAGTCGATACCATCCAGTGCTACCAGATGTTTCTTGTCGTATACGATCAGTTAATTGATGTAGTTGTTGATCGTCATCAGCTGTAAGTTTCAGATCCACTTCATAAAGTGGATTGTGCATGTCGATTTTTCGAACTTCACCAATTCGAAAAACTGTGTGCATCGAGAAGAGTATTTCCTCTTCTTCCTGATAATAACTCACTTCCTGGATTGAAGCGAATGTAGTCGATGATTCTTTAGGATCGATGGTCATTTGAAAAAGAATACCGACCATATCTGGTGCTCCTAAGGCACTATTGGCGAAAGCGAGAGACACATCTCGATCTTTACTGGTTGATAAAAAGTTATTAAATGAGATAAGTCCACCTTCATTTTTGGTGATCTTGTCAAAGTCTGCCTTCTGTAGTCCCTGTCCTCGATAAACAAGGAAGGTTTTACCATGATATTGATTCATTTGCTTGCTGTGTAAATCTTCAATTTGTCGGTGGACATCACATAAGTAAAATCCCATTCGGATAATGATATCACCATCGAGCGTACGTAATGCTCGATTAAGCATGTTGAATGTAAAACATTGACTGGTATACCACCATATGGCGAATGTTGGATTATAAGTACGCTGAAATTCATCAATAATTTTGAGTGCTGCTTCATTACCTTCATATTGGTGCTGCCAGAAGGTGACCAAATCTTTGATATCTTGTTGACCGTGTTTCATATCAAGCAGTATTTCCTTGAATATTTGAGTATACATGAAAGATGGCTCTAGCTGATTGAGATTTTCGGTAGAACCAGCTACATCGGCACTAATTATACTGACCACTGTATTATTTTGATTGCATTGCTTGACAGCCACTTGCAATGCTTGGGATATGGACTCGATTGAGTCGTGGACACCTTTAATTTTTGTCCAATGTTTAGCCCATTCTGTATGAAATTCCTCTTTGCGAGAAAAGATATATATAGCATCAAGATTTCGCATTCCGTGAATATTTGGTACAAGAACTTGTCCAAGTTGTCCAGACGAGATAACGAAAGATGTTTCCTCCTTATTTTCATTCAGTAACCCAATGCATTCTTCTGCTGTGATGCAAGTCTTCACTTCATTGACAATACCGCGCAATTGTGAGAGTGTATACTGACAATCTTCATTTTCCGCATTGATATTTGCATCAATCCATATGACTAAATAATTTTCAGCCATACGTCGCCTTCGTTGTTGACTCATTTTCGATGTAATACTGAATTAGCTTTATGAATGCAATTTACCTTTTGTATTTATACATTCGATGCACGTTGTTTTTTTTCCTCGATTTTTCTACGACGTCAAATATGAATATGTTGTTTTTTCGTCGATACTCAATAACAACCTATGCCTAGTATCAGTTGAAGGTATGGTTGTTAAAGAACATTTAAAAGGGAAAAAACCATCAACGTCATTTATGGTATGATTACTTTTTCCCACTTTCATTTACGTGTCATGTGAACCGTGACTTATGTTTCATTTGATTAGATATCTTGTCTCATACGTTGTATGCATTTTTTTCATCATTTTGAGAAGAATGAAAAAAAACACCAAGGATATTGTCTGTGTGACTTTTTTCTCATTATGAATACAAGTGACATGCTGATAGTGTGAATCAAGCACGAATAAACATCATTTTAGTTTTTATGTAGGTAAAAGTTAAACAACGATGTCTATTTGCTGAATATACCGAATAGATATTGCAATAGTTTAAGAGCTGCTCAATAGTAGTTATATTGATTTTAGTCGTGTCACGTTCAGGGTGTGGGTGGTGGGTGTGGGTGGGTGTGGG